TGTTTTCATCTCATGTCTATATATTCCCTTGCTAAAACATATACAATAGATTTAACTTTATGATCTGATTGTCTCTTTGTTCAAAGTTTTTACAATATAGTTCATAGACACGATTCTTATAAATACAATGAGGCACAATAATTGTAACATCGAATATTTTGTAAATATCCGTACAAAGACTAATTATAAAGCCTTGGACGTTTTTTCTCAACAAATACGACATCGAATTCTCTACAATTTTTAAAGTAGAAATTCCTTTGAACTTGTGATAAAGAATTTAGAAAGAGCTACGATAGAAGATCTATAAGGTGCTCGAATTACTCACCCATCAGAATTCATTTTTTTTGTGCATCCAAACGATGATCGCATTTTGCATAGTTTTTATTCTTTTTGATGATTTTCAGACATGAAGAGGATCCTATTGTCTGTATTATACTATTCAGCAATGATTTTTTTGTGCAATGGAATTGATTGAAACTATGAACTAGAGATTTTTGTTTTTAGTGTCTATATTATTATTAGAGTAAGAAATAAGAACATCGTACACAACTTTCATTTTAGCTCCCTCTAAATCCATTATCACAAGCCGAGAGAATCTTTTATGATTAATCTATGCAGAGATATATTAGCACGAACACTTTTTTTTACTTCCGATATAGTGAGACATAGCAAAAATTTCATATCTATTTTCTTTTAGTTTTCTAAAAATTCATGAGAACAAGTCAGTAAACTTTAAGATTTGAAGATTTATCTTTCCTGAGTTATTTGCAAAAAACTATGTAGGAATAGTTTTATTTAATAGAGCAAAATGAGATGCATCGACTCTCTCCATGATGTTCTTTCATCCAACTATCTGACTTTATAGAAAACCGAAGAAAAGTATTTTTCTTTCGTATTTATGAAAAATTTCAATAATTTCGCCATATTTGACTTATCAAATAAAACTATTTTCAAAAAAGTATCAAATGGATGCTAGAAAACTAGTTTTAGGCTAGTATTGATTTTCTAGACATCTTTATCCAAACAGCTTTATTGGAATTTTTAAATCTATCAATTCTGATAAAGAATCCTATCAATTATTCAAATATTTTTTTTCAGATTCTTCCTAGCTGTTACCAACCCAATATCTTACCAGAGATTCAACGTATTTAGAAGTGTCTTTTAGCAAAGTATACCTTATTTGGTCCAGAATTGATCGTGTACTATACAGAAAAAATATACGCTAATTGCACAATAAAAAAATCGAGTATTTTGTAATTTCGAAAAGAAAATATGTTTCAATTGTGAAAGAAAGAAAACCTTCGTCGAAATAACGTAATAAATGCTTATTCTCCTGTCCGAAATTACAAAATGCATCATTTTTGCATTGTGAAATTTGCATATAATTTGGTATGTAAAATTAAAGGACGTTGTATCTTAGTATTTTTAGTCCTTATACAGCAAGGTCACGGTGAAAAGAGCTAAAAATCGGAGCGCATAAGCTATGTTCTGCCAAAAAACACACTTCAATACGTCGAATTCGTTTCAGATATCAGAAAAATAGAATCAATATTGTGCATTACTATAAAATGCTTGAAATATCTCCGTTTTAGTTCTTTCGAATGGTGAGATTTTTTGCTTAGCGTAGAAATTTATTTAACTGTTGTCAAATAAAACAAAATACATATGAAGCGTATCGCATAATAATTTTTAGTTGTCATCTAACAGGCTAATAAGAAGAAATTAGTAGTCAGTTTAAATGCTGGAATTCGTGTTCTATGAAGTAAAACTGTTCATTCCAACAATGTGGACACAAAGCTCACTAGTGTGCTCTATTACAAAATTCGAAATTTTGTGCCAGTTAACTTTTAATTAACTAGTTATAAAAAAATTTGCTCTAGAGTTCCGGAGATCTTTTATCTATTTATAGTGAACCCTATACGTTGATATGATATCTTCTTTCTTGGGAAGTGTGCATTAAATAGAAATTACCTGTTAGTAGTGATCATTATCATGTACATGATGAAGTGCGTATGAAGTTCGTTAGTATGTAGTAGAGGTATAAGTAGCAAATGAATTCGATTTGGCTCGTCCTATATCAGACTTCAGATAACTTACATTACAAGGCTTGCATAATGACTGTGATAAACACACATGTGTTGCACCAGACGTCATATTCAAGGCTATTAGACTGTATATGCGATTATGAACAGATCTATGACAGAAGACACACAAAATAGATAAGTTAAAGGTCAAATCTTTCACTTATGGGAATAAACTTAATATTTTTATTGACGATGTAAAGAATCAGTAGAAAAAATAAAAGAAAATATCATAGATAAATGTAAGAAATTGCATAATAAAATCTACTCTATGTATATATATATATAACTATCTTTAATTAGTTACTTTAACGTGTGTATTATATCATATGTTTTCATATATCATGAATTACATTCTAATAATGCCCATGTTACCTTTTCTTTTTCTGTTTCATTGTCGACATGCGTTTGTTGGATGTTATATTGATGGATGTTATCACATACTTTGCCTCATGTTGGATGTTCTCATAGAGTAATAGATTATAATTCTTTATCATAGTAGTATCAATAAAAACGTGATGTAGATAAATATGAAACTTAGATTTTAATTCAATACACTATAGTAAAAATAAAATAGAACAAGAGTTCAACGTGCATATTATATTTCATGTTTGTTGGCTAAGATAAAAAAGGTTATAAATGTTGTAGAAATCGGAGAATGTTTTACATGCATCTATCAAAGATGCGATATATATATATATATATATTGGACGGAATAGATGATTTCCTTAATCTATGCGGGAATGACTCTGATGACATTTTATTTGGTTCTGAAAAGAAGAAAAAAAAAGAATCTTCATCTATATACCTTTTACATAAATGTCTAACAACATCAATTGACTTGAAACCATCTAATGCATAAAGTCGTTTAGCTAATCTTTGTGCTGATGGAAGATCAACAGATTTATTAACTGTTTCTGCTGTAACTGGTACTAGAAATTAGAATGATCAAATACAAAAAAAACTAAGTTATAAATTCTTACATTTAAAATCAAATTCATCATCAATATCTTTAAGTCTAGCATCAATTTCATCTTTTATTTTTTGATCAAGTTCACTTGATATAGGTGATTGTATTTGTGTAGATAATCGTGTTATAGTTTGATGTATTATTAGTTTTTCTTCATTAATTTCATTTTCATTATCAACAATAGGAAGATTATCATAATCAGTATGACTTATTGTTGATGATGATGTAGGTAAATCAATTAATGATGATGATGATATAGTTAATTCATCAGATATTTTTTGACCACATAAATCAAGATTATTTTCAAATGAACGACTTTTTGTTGATGTTGTATTATAACCATTGGTCATTGATTTATTATTTAAATATCCGTTTGTTAAATAAGTATTATTATCTAAAGAATTTTTCTTGTTTATAACTAATGTATATGGTGAAGGTGGATGCTAAATTGAATTGACAGGAATCGATGATATGTATGTACCACTATAGTCTAATGTATGAGATAAGCGACATAAAAAAAAACGCACAGAAGAATTCTATTGATAATTTATTATCAAATGTTAGGTTCATAGAACTACTTATTGATACATTGATTGACCTTTATTTAGTCGATTAGGAATAGAGAAGCAAGATGTTTTGTGTCTGTTTATCGCAAAGAATACTATTCTTTTTTTTTTTTTCTAAAATGCCAATTCTTCTTGTGAATGAAGGATTAGATTCAGGATGCAAACTAAATATTGTTGAGTGTCATCATGAATAGATGTATGTATGTATATGATAAAATCAATCTCGGAAAAAAGATGTGCAAAGCAATTTCGAGTAAAGCAATAGCTTAAGGAAAAAAAAATGTCATTCTCATAGAAGAGAAGATAAAAAAAAGACACAACACAAATAATATATTGTCTTATTTTTGTCTATGTATTCTAGAAAAAAAAAATCTAACTACAACTTGATGTTTCTATGATGGTAAATCATCAATAGCCGTCTGTCGATGTCAACAATAACAACAATCTGTAAAATAGTTAAGAATAACTAAGGACAAGTCAGTTGTTTTATTCTTATGCTTCGTCTGTGTGTCACATATTATTATCTACTCATAGATTTTTTTTTTAACTGCTTACTATTCTGTTTACCTGTATTTTATAAACAATAGATTGATAATATTTTTTGTTCGTATTATCAAATTGAATATAATACAGAATTCGATTACAATAATCTTATTATGATCATGGATAACTCCCAAGTGTTCGTCCTTATATATATATATGTTATTAAATGGTTCACTAAGATGCAAAATAAAACTGAGTTATAAATAGACTAAGGATGTGTTAAAGTATACGGGGGAAAAAAAACTACTTTTATTCAATGTGCCGTAAACAAAGAAATATTCACGGCTATCTCGCTCTTTCTTTCGTCTTCTAATTCCTCGAGACTTTTATCCCATTATATATCAGAGAACACAGCATGGACAAGGGAGTCCCGCAAGCATACAAATATGCATGTTATGTGCAAAGAACAAAAGAAAAAAGAACAAAATCAATTATATTCATTAATACTCACACGCATAGAAAAACAAATAGTAACCTCGAAAGTGGGTGTTAATAGTGAAATTGAACACTTTTGTAATCATACGCCCGAAGATGTACATTTAAAAAAAAAAGAGAGAAAAAAGAAAGAACAAGTATTGTAACTAGCTTTATCTTTTGTCACAACTATAAGAGTTGTACAAGATTAAATAAATCGATATGCATACTAATCTGATCTTTTAATCTCATAATTAAAAAGAAAAAAAAAAAAAAACGAAGAATTATCTACATTCTAATAAAACAAGCAAACAAACTTCTTTTTTTTTTTTTTCTTGTTCTTTCGTATGAATTTAATCTATGAAGTATGTGAAGTTAATACATGAACATCTATCTAATGGGTAATTCGAAAGAAATTCAACAAAACTACAATTTTATACCTGATTTCAATCGAATACGAATTCGATTACCGGATAATTTTAAATTTTTTTCAACTAAAAACAAAAAAAAAGAAAAATTACATAAGGAGAAATAATCTAATTTAAATTACATTCAACTACTGTTTGTCCAGCTGTGCTTACACCATTTAATTCAATCACAATATCACCAGGTACAATCTAAATAAGAAATTTTATACTTACTTTAATCAAAGACAAATAACAATTTGAAACCTTAGCAAGTGATCTCCAAATATGTACTGGAAGACGTGTTGCATTATTATTAATAGATCGAACTTGAATAATTGAACGACAAAGTTTTATATTTATCGGACTATCATTATTAGTCAAATCTTGATCATTAGAAGTTTCTTCAGTAATTATTTCTTTTGATTCATCATTCAAATCATTTATCCATTCGATACCAAAATCATTATCCAATAATTTATGACGATATCTATTAAGATAATATATAAAGAAAATATTTTATGTACAAAAAGAAAAAAGAGTTACACATACAAATCAATAACTTTAACAGTTGGCATTAATGCTATTTAATATATTTTGGAATTGACTATTTTGATCAATGAATTTGACAGCAAACGGTGAGTCATCAAAAAACGGAACATAACGAGAGAACAGATGAAGAAGAAGAAAAATTTTCTTCTTTTTTTTTTTTCTTTTTGTTTCATTAATAAACCAATAGAACTATTGGTAATGACTTCGTCAAAAATACATTATATTCTCATTTCCCAAGATAATTTACTTTATAATTTCCATATACAAATGAGAATCGATTCGATTTGTAGATGCGCGACATCCAAACCAATGACTGCACAAAAATTTTACAAAAAAAATTAAAATCTTACAAGTTAAATTATTCAGGGAAGGTACATCTTCAATTCCTTGACTTTTATGTTCTTTGACGTCAACAATATCTAATGAAAAATTTAAGAAAAAGTTTATTCATCTTTGAATAATTTTCTAGATCATTTATTTCAATTTAAGTGAAAAAAAAACTAGAACAATCTTCTATTGAGTAATTTACCAATCGAATGATTTATGATCTCTGTTTGATTGACGTTGGAAACTCATTTGAAGAACAACAAATACAGATGCCTGAAGGACTTCAACGGAAGTAATTAAGTTTCACAAATAGATACATGTTATCTCAATTACTATCCTATATTCATATATTATATAATCATTAATAGAATTTTACAAGAATTGGAGTTCGTATTACAGTTCTCTAATCATAAATGATGATTGAATTTTATTTCCAAGGATTTTGTTTGTCTCTTAATAGTATTATAAATGATGATAAGATGAAGTGAAAATCTATTAGATATCAAATTTTTTTTCTTGAAAGAACGATGAATAGACAAATCTTAAATTAGTCAAAAGTTTTATTTTTGCAGTAGTAAACATGTATATATTCAGAGAATGACAGAAAAAACGACATCGACACAATTTGTAATATGTCCTTGGAAACTTATAATATCTTTGCTTACATGCAATATTTACACCGACGGGCTTTATTTGATTGTTATTTAAGTTAGCCGTAGAAAGGTTGACAGGAAAAAGGACTAAAGAGTGCTTTAAAAAATTCTGAATAGCACGAGATATACTTTCTTGTATGGAGTAAAATTAACATTCTAATCAACATTAAACACAAGAATGTTCACGAAATTTACTTGTTTGAATATTTTCTCTACAGGGTCACCATGATCCTCAATCATTTTGATCAATTTCTTATTCATATTCACAAGAACTTTTGCATTTATGCACGAAAAAAAGTCAATTAATTATGATTTTCTTTTTGATTCTGTTGTTCAACAAAACATAATAGACAATGGTAATTAACTCGATCATAAAGTTGTTCTCAATCATTGGCTTTAACTCAATCGTTATGCAAGACGCTGTATTGGGTCCAGATAGGGTATGGACGTTCTCTTCATCTACATATGCACCCATACTCTGAAAAAGGTTTTTGATCAGAAACAAAAACAAAGTTTTATCTTTCACACCAGCATTAAGCATTCATTCGTATAAAAAAAATATAGATTAGTTAAATAATATCTCTTCGTAAGAAAACTATATAAATAAAAAAATAGAACATAAATGACTATTATTTGGTATATTATTAGCAATCGAGTATATAGCATTGACTAGTCTTTAAAACTTGAATTCCTTTTTCATGAAAAAATACGTCACACACATATATACATACATACATATTTGTTATCATGAAATAATACTAGTAGTACTTCATATCGAAAGATTTAGCAATCCTGATTTGCGTACAAAACAACTATTGCATCTATCATCAATGAAATTAATATTATCGATTTATACGTATAATAATTCTACAAGAATTCAGGTAACAAAACACATGTTCAATATATAAATATTCATTATTTTGAATAATTTTACGCAAGTACAAGAAAAGAGAATGAAAAGAAAGGAGATGAGGCTAAGGAGAGAACAGAGATAGAAGAGCAATGAGGTAAGGACAGCGGCGGTAAGAATAGAAAGGTGAGGACAATATATATGTAATATACGAGTAAACGATAGGGAAAGATTGAATATCATGTATGAAATCTAATGAATGGGCAGCGTTACAGTGTCGGTGTAAGTTTGAATCTTCTCTTCTGCGAAGCGTACATCTTCATCTCGCATCGACACTCTCGTCAACTCACCTGTCCAAAGCCACAGTCTCAGTTACATCCGTACACATCCATGCTTCACTCATCTTATGATCGAGATTTTAATTTTTCAATCCCATGCATTCCAACAAAAGCTGTGGGATGAGTTTTCATCGAATTTTCATGTTGTCGCCCTTTTTCAAAATTTCAAGGAAATAGGAACTTGCCGCTAAATCATATAGACAAAGCCGATAGTACTTTAATCGAAACTTATCGAAATCTTTTTGCATGATTTTATCTGCATAGGCTTACATCTGTTTTCGAAAACTTTAACAACTTTTGTGATTGTTCGCTTTCAGAAAAATATACATTCTTTGAGCTATAAGTAAATTCGGCTTGATTATTTATTTCATGAAAAAAAAAAAGATATTCTGTTCATAAAAATATACTGTCGAACGTCTCGAATTCTATCCACAGCTGTAGTATTTCTTCAGCTTTCGAATATCTCCTGAACTCAGCTTGCCAAGTCGACCCATGTATGGTTCCCAATTTTCGTAGCCGCTCAACGATGGTCGAATGGTTGGTTTGCCATTTATTGAGAAAGCATCATTGTGATAGTGCATAATTGAGCCTAGAAATAATTATCTCAAAATGAAAAGACTGCTGATCGCTTACCATAGTCATAGGGTTCGCCGAGTGTGTTGATTTCGCTGGTTGTGTAACGTTGGAAGTTATACTCCATACCTGAAAGAAAAAACGAGCCTCGTTTAATCTACTGAGAAAACCCATCGACCTACCTGATATTATGTTCTCTGGATAGACCTTGACGTATTTATCGCGATCAGGTCGTGTTTGCTCATGAGCAAATCCCAAAGCATGCAAGAATTCATGAATAGCCACTTCTTCATAAACACATCCGGGCCGTTCCAATGATACATCTTGAGCTCCGTTGTCTTTCGTTCTGCCCATATAGGACCAACAACTGTCAAAAAAAAACGCTCAAGACTCAACATACGAAGAGAAGATACTGACGTACCCTTCGCCGGGATAGATGCGCAGCCAGACTGGATGGCTACCTCGGGGAACAAACTTGATACAGTTGTTTGTAGCTGAACTGATGGCTGCCATAGCTGCTTTGATGGTGTTCTGTTCCTGTGTCGTATAACCCCAGGAAAACTCATATGGAACGGTACCACCCGACCATTTGCCTGATACTTGGTAAGCATTGCGACCACGAGACACTGCGATATCACCTTCTACCAAGTGAATATCCTTTCGTTTATTTTCTGAGAGATTGGGCAGATTGAAGAGATTGGCAGCACCCGTTGTTTCTGGTTTTGGCTGTGGTTGAGAGATTTCGTCTCTCAATTTAACTTTCTCCAACGAGTTGTCTTGGTCGTCGGAATAAAAACGGCTAGCCAAATATTCTTGTAATTCAGTCTCTGTACTGTCATCATTATCAGTTCTCATTGATCTGGCATTCATTGTCCTGATCAAGAAAATCATTACGAGACATACCAGCTGAAAGCGCATGATTACTGTCGTATTAAGTATTTGTATTGCACAATGTTTCTTATTTTTATTTATGCATTACTAGCAGATATTTATATACCTCTCAGCAAGCATTCATTTATTTTATCGCATAATTTATCCGATTATACGAGTAATGTTTATTATAAATATTGATTCACACTCTCTTATGAGTGTAAGACATTCATCATCAAACAACTATTCATTGGTTAATATGCTCTACAAGAAATATTGAGCTTCTCATTCCGAAAGAACCAACCAGTCCGCATAATTTATATGGTTTCTCAACTTAACGAAAGGTATTTGTTTTAATATCGAGTTCTACTTACTGAAAGAGGCCATTAGCTAAACACACAAATTGTTTAGGCTTGTCAAACATCTGGACGCCTACACGCAAAAAATATACGGGTTCTGTATTGTACTATGATGGTTTCGTACAGAGCCTTTATTTTTTCAAGTTGTAGTTGATGATGAGTTTAGAATTTATGATTGAAAATCGAGCTACATGATCTAGATTTCGATCCTGCTCAGAAGGTATATTGGTTGTACATTGATGATGCCTGCATAACTCTCTATTATGTCGTTGAAACCGAACTAAAAAGTAATCATCAAGCCCATGTGATAAGAAAACAGTCAAAGTGATGCTGCGAAATCCGATTGAAAGTTGAGGGTGAATAGCGAAATTCTGAAATCTAGCGTAGCTTATGTTTCTAAGATTCCACAACATTCCTGAGTATTCTCAGTGAGTGTTGAAGAGGCTATAAAGACTAGTCATCTGTGTCACAACAGCTTCTCATATTGGTATTTCGTTTTCTTTTTTTCTTCGTTCGTGATCGCCGATATATATATATATACATATCGATGCCTACCTAATTGTAATTGATTCAGTTGTGGTTCTTAGGTTTGGCTAATCTTCGTCTCAAGCACAGGAACTGAACCTATTTCTTCGTTAATCTGTCAATACATTCAGAAGATTTTATTCTGACAGAGTTCCATATGCATAGCAGCATCGATGAGTTCCTTTCTTAATAACTAAAATTTGTCATGCTTTGATACTAATGATCACCTAATTAGCGTAACAGTATTCAAAAATGTTCGAATCATTTTATATTCAATTTTACTTGCTTCAATAATTGGTAATAATTTTTCGATCGGTGGACGCTAAGATTTCTCACTATTCCTATGAATATTTATTGAAATTATTTCTTTTTAGTTCGTAATATGTGTGTGCGTGCATGGATGCAGACAAGAGCCGCATCTACATTTATACCTACCTCTTCTTTGTTTCTCAATATGCACCGTAGCAATAATAAGCTTTTTATTGAAGAACTCAGATACAAGTTCTATTGTTTTTACTGTTTATATATGCATAATATTGGATTCAAGTAGCAGTGGTATTATTTTATAAGTCTTTTATTTAGAAGAGTTGATGTGCATAACTTTCATGTACTGTGAAGGGAAATAAAAAGAAATAGTATCAAACGATCATATTACAGAGAAATTATCAGTTACAGGGCAAATCTATACATAGATTACTCAGAGTATGAAGAAAAAGAATACCCTAGATAAGAAGCGATGCAAAATGGAACTTTGGAATTTTAACTATTCGTTTGATTTCGATCGCTATCTTGGCGTTTTTTTTTGATTGAGACAATCGTAGTAGAAATTGAATGAATAATCATGATTTTAGCCCTCGTCCATAAGCGATCATGCTAAACGATCCTGAGACAATATTGTGTTAGTTTCTAATTAACAAGGATTTCAAAATATGTGTGCGACTAGTCATAATATAATAAGTAACCTGATGACTTTCATATATCACTTACTAATAATTCATACTGTATAAGAAAAACACGAAATGCATTAAGAAAGCATTACAAAGGCAAAAGGAAACTTAAAATCGAAAAACTAGTCAATACACAGATAAATTACATAATTTGAAAAGTGCAGTACCCGGATTCTAATAATACAAAGCTTTCCAAAACTGTGATAATATTTTTTTCTTGGTTATTCTACTGTTCCAACTTGAGATTGTGACGATTATTCCTTCACGACGTAAAAATATTCTACGCGCATCTATCCGTACAAATTTTAGACTAGCAGAGGAAAGAAATATCTAAACAGCCGTCGGCGGTGACGCACCGACTTATTAGTATAAATATACATGCTCTTTCTTGTTGAATGGTCGTGTTTTTTATTCATCCTTCTGCCAGTATATACAATACACGACGGTCGTATCAAGATATGTCACACAGCTTCTTTGGAAAAGGTTGGAATCATGCGCTGATCTAATAACAAGAACTTGAAAATTTCCCTATATCAACAGACTCATCCTTGTTGTTTCTATCCGCTGTCTATAAAAACACGTTCTTCAAAAATCATAATCGTAAACATACAAAAAAAAAGGGTGAGGAAACGAATGGTCAAACTAGAATATGACTCTTCACTGAACGTTAATCGAATAACAATCGGGGTGTAAGTGTAGGTGTAGTGTGACTCACTGTTGAATAAATACTAACATCCACACTCACACCCACACCTGCCCTTAAAAATTTTGGCGAAAATTGTATAAGAGAAAAGAAAGATATTCATAGTAACTGGTTCGATAATCAAAAATGTTCGACCATCTCCAACCATGTAGAGTTTGATGGCTCTGTGTTGGTTCGCAAAATGGCACAGGAAGCGGAAACGAATTAAAATCTATTTTGAAATAGGGTGTGGGTGTGGGTATGGTGGATGTAGATGCGGGGTGCGGGCGGACGTAGGTGTGGATGCGGGAAAAGAGAACACATACAACCCTACATCCACACCATACTTCAACAATTCTACGACGCGGAACATTGACTCTCGAAAGTAGAGTATAATTCACCATAAATAACTGTTGACTCAACATACAGTGCAGTACGCAGTCTGACATAGAAGGAAAAGTATTCCTTATTCATAATTCAAAGCAGAGGTGAGCAGCTTGGATCGTCTTATGATCCGCATTGAAAACATTGGGCTACATTGTCTTAGACTTTTTTTTTGTTTTCTTCTCTTTGGTTTTCTTTATCTTCTCTTGTTTGCCTCCTTTGATGACTATGAGTCTTTATAAATGTGAAGACACGTGTCTTGGTTGTTTTTTTACATGTGTGTAGTTAGTTGTTGTGCATTCTGAAGAAAAAAGTGTCAAAGTCAACAAGGCAATGTTCAACATGTTTTAGAATTATAGCACTCAATATCAGCTCTCAGTATACACAAAAAGAAAATTTCCTCGGACATTCTAACTTATAGGATTTTATAGTACCGATGCCACTACTATAGTATGCCCTAAATAGCAAAATAATTCATGCAATCGATTTGAATTATTATCAAATAAATATTGTTTTTTTCAGTAAAATCGTGCGATCGATAGTATAAAGAACCCATTTATATTACCTTTTTTGTGGCATTTTGAAATCGGTTTCTAATCCTATTCGATAGAGAATTCATTCCTCTACAAAATAGTCTACTTTGTTTTTTAAAAGCATTTCTCTTGTCGATATAAAAATGAAAAGATCCATATCTACTCCATAGTCTATTTGCAGCAATCAAAATAAAAAAGAAAGATTGCTGGAAACTTTTAATAACTGTTTAACTATAAGTTTTCTTCAACGTAATCGTTCCGATTTTTCTTTTCTAGTGACCATTTAGACTGTTTTATTCAAAATTAAATTTTTCACCAGACGCCATGAAAATCATCGTTTCACAGAATGAATATACTTTTCAAAAACATTTTTTTCAATAAGTGACCGACATAGAGCACAAAATCCTGTATTTTTAAGACTTTTTTGAATCAGCATACGCTAGCCGACACAATTAGAGATCTAAAGAAAAAATAGAAAGACACAAGAAATAAATTCTCTGTCGAATAAACTTATGAAACAGATTGTAAACTACTTCAAAGAAGGAAACAAACAGCTGTCAACAATCCATTCATGTCAATTAATTACTAAAAAAAAGTTTCTTTGTCTTCGAAATATCGGTTAAGCTGCTTAAGTTTTTCTTACTCTTTCTTTTTTTTCTTGTTTCCAATTTATCAAAATTATTTCTAAACAAACATACAATGGCTGCTGTATATGAATTAGAAGATCCAAGTTCGACAAAAAATCAACGTTTAGTAAGTTTGAAAAGTGAATTTTCTTTATAAGAAGAAAACACAACTGTACTTCATCTTAGAAATCACTTCGATTAATTGAATTAAGTGATCATATGATACGTTTAAACCGTCGTGAAAATACACAACTTGAATTACGTTTAAATCAACTTAAACGACAAGAAACAATAATTCGACGAAGATATGATCGAGAAATTTATTGGAAACGTTTACAACTTGATCGAATATATGACACATTAAATGATTCACCAATTGGACTAACAGATAATTTTCGAATTCAAACACCAATGTCATTTCATACGGTTAGAACGCAACGAAATCAATCTGCACCACCGACTAGTAAAAGAACACAAGTTGAAAATAAATCTCAATCAAGACCAAATACAACAGCTAATGCATTTCGACGTGATAAACGAGCATTAAGTGCATTTAGAGAAATAACACTTAAACCATCATGTCGAACATTAGGAAATTTATTGGTTTTATTAGATAGTGAAAAGAAATATTTGAAAACTAATGATTTATTAGAGCAAGAACGATGGCAAAAATTTAACAATAGAACATAATCAAATTAAGGATGATGGTTTTTAGGAATATAGAAATAAAGAAGATGATAATAGAAACTGTAGATTATGACTTTAGTTTACATACGTGAATCATTGATTACAAAACCTCGTACTTAATGCAAATTAAACGAATTACATTTGTATGAATAGCCTATGAAAAATACTTGAAAAACTTCTTTAAGAATCATTGACAAAAAGTATGAAAGAAACAAGTTCTTGTTGCATATCATTAAAGTATGATGATTTTCATCGGC